AAGTCATGAAGTGGAAAGAACATAGGTCTCTTCTCAATCAGAAGGTCTGGGTGCAAAGTATGACCGTTCAGGGCTTGTGTTTTGTTATTTCTGAGCTGAGAGGGCTGGGCAAAACGAATTTTATCAACTGGAATTCTGAAAGGACAGCAGTACATCCAGTAAAGAGGACTCATCAACTTCCTGATGTGATCCCTAGTTAGCTTTGTCCTGCAGTATCTGATGCCCCTTGTCCCACTCAGTCCTTTGGAATTATCATCCTCGACTTTTCTTAGACAAAACCTGGCTACAAACTTAACTTTATGGAGCTGGGGTTGTGGATCAGTGGCAGAGTGCTTGCCTCGCACCTGTGAGGCATTGGGTTTGATCCTGAGCACCACTTTTTTGTTGCTTATTTATAAAAAAAATTTATAAAAATAAATAAACAACAACAAAAAAATCTCTGTCTCCATCAGTTTTTCTATATGTATTTTATTTCCATAAAATATATATTTTTTATTTCCATAAAATACATATTTCCAATTACTATTGGTACTGATTAAAAACATGGTTTGAAGAATTACTCTAAAACATGAGAATAATTATTTCTAACCTCATTTATTACAGCAGATTTGTGTTTGTGTTAATATAGGACGTCAAGGAAAACTTCATCTGTATAATTTGTTTTAAAATATATCTATTGGTATATTCCTGATATAATGAAAAATATTCAAATAATTCTTGGGCAATTTAAAAATATCTCAAGCTCCTTTTATGTCTAAAAATGCCAGCATTCTATAGTAATCAGGGGTAAAATGAGTGAGGGATACCCACATGGCCCTTTTTAGCATTCAAAATCAAACTTTTCTTTCTGTAATATATAAACTTAACTTTTTAGATAGTGAGAAGCAGGTGGACAGACTGCTGCTATCCTTTGAAAGATTAAGGCCAAGATTAAGAAACAAAAGTAAAAATCTCCCAAGCATCTCATCTGTTGGAAGCATGACATTATTGAAACCTTATCCCTTTGCTCTGCATCAGTGGAAGCTGTAGTTTCCCTTGTTAAGTGACTTCTGGATAAGTTAAACCAATAGATGGTGATAACAGAAGACTGAAAGATAGAGGAGGAAAAAAACAGGGTATTTCCCCCTCCTTCCATCCCAGAGACAGCTCCATCGGTGGCTCAATGTTCCCTGACTAGCTCCTACCAACCTAGTTCCCCCTCCATCACCCTGTTTCATGACTGGTGTCCATCATCAAGGTGACAGTGGCATCCTTCTTTGCCAATCTCTGGATTGTTTCATTGTTCCCTTTTGGGCCTCTTATCTCTTCCCATCAAGTGAGTAAAAAATTTTCTGTATTATAAATTCCTTCTAGACAGGCATGGTAGTAAATACCTGTAATCCTAGTGACTCAGGAAGCTGAATGGAAGGATCACAAGTTTGAGGCCAGCCTCAGCAATTTAGCAAGACCCTGTCTCAAAATTTAAAAAAAATAAAGGACTGGGGATATATATAGCTCAGTGGTATGGCACCCCTGAGTTTAATCTCCAGTACCACACACACAAAAAAAAATGTTTCCTTCTGCATACTTTCTGGTTTTCATTTTCCTGACTTGATCTTAATTATAAATTTCTAATGTCACATATATTTATCAGTGAACTTATGATAGGTTAGAGTCAAGAATTAAATAGCTGGGCATGGTGGTGCATGCCTATAATCCCAGCAGCTCAGGAGGCTGAGGCAGGAGAACCACAAGTTCAATGCCAGCCTCAGAAACTTAGTAAGGCCCTATGTAACTCTATGAGACCCTGTCTCTAAATAAAAATATGAAAAAGGGCAGGGGGTGATGGCTCAGTGGTCAAATGCCTCTGGATTCACTTCCCAGTACCAAAAAAAAAAAAGAATTAAATAGATGCAAAAGCACTAGTAAAATAAAATGTGGACATTCTGAACAGTTACTAAAAGTCACTAAATTGTACACTTAAAACAGGTAGGTTTTATATTAAATCATACCACAATAAAATTGTTTTTAAAAATATACCAGAAAAGTAGCTGGGCATGATGGTATGCACCTGTACTTCCAGCTACTCAGGAGCTAAGGCAGGAGGAGGAAGATCACATTAGCCCAGGAGTTTGAGACCAGCCTGAGCCAAATAGCAAGAAAAGAATTAAGTAATAAAAAAAAATAAGTAATAAAATACCCAGAAAAGAAATTAAATAAAATGAACAGTGAGTAGATTAGACCAGTGATCTCCAAACTTTTTTTTATCACGCTTCCCAACAATAGAAAACACAATTTGAGTTTACACCTCCATATTTGTGGGTTTTTTAGTTTAAATTGCATACCTGTTGAAAAACTGTTCATAAAAGATATTTTCTAAAATAACTACAAAATAGAGATTCAAACAGATGGAAACACATGTAAATAAGAATTCTTGGGGCTGGGACTATAGCTCAGTGGTAGAGTGCCTGTGTCACACATGTAAGACACTGGGTTCAATCCTCAGCACCACATAAAAATAAATAAAGATATTGTGTCCATCTATAACTAAAAACATTTTTTTAAATAATAAGAGTTCTTATGATTTCCTAGTGGTATGGGGATATAGCTCAGTTGGTGGAATGCTTGCTTCACATACATAAGGTTCAATCCCTAGAACAACAACAACAATAAATGAAGAAGAAAAAGAATTTTTAGAATTTCCTGCTTTAACTATAGTGGTTTTTTGATACCTCACCTAAAATGCTCTGCAGAAGACTTCAGAGCAAGGAAGACAGAGGAGTTCTTTCTTTTTTCTAAGGGCTTTTTTCTAATCTATTCTAGCAGTAATGCCACTATTTTTACACTTGCATAGCTCCTTCAGTTTTAAGTGTTCTTCATCTGTGTTATCTCCTTTGCGCTCTCACCTAGAGAAGCAAAGTGGATCAAAATAGGGGGGAAAACTTGAATGCCTGACAAGAGGTGCTTGGAATTGGTCATAATAACAGTGCTGCCATATCAGATGTGTCACCTCACAGAGCAGACATTGGCAGTCCAGAGTCCCCCCAATAATTGGCTTCCTCAGCATGTCAGAGGAAGAAAGGTGTGGAGGTGTACCCTGCTCCAGGGCACCTCACTCAGCATGAGCTTCCCACTCTGGATTCATTTTTTAGCATTTCAGAACCCAGAATTAGTAGGCGTAGTCAACACTCTCCTGCCCTTTTTCTTAGACTGCTCCTCCATCTTGTGTGCTAAAGTTCCATGAGACTATTACTCACATATTCAGTCTCTAAAATGATGTTTTGATACATTTATCTGGCTCTCCCAGCCAAGAGCCATGTGTGTAGCTCTTATCACTTCAGAGTACTTTCTGTGGTTCCTATATCTCCACTTATCCTTCACAGTCTGAGCTCAGCTAGTCATATTTTATATTCCATATCCAGTTCCATTTCCAGAGAACAAGGCTGGATTTAATACTGTTCCTACTTTCTTTTTGACCCTTCCCCTACTTGCTGAAGTCTGCCCTTCTCACTGCATGAGCATCCTGAGAACTACATGGATTGGCTGACAGGACAAGACTTTATATAAAACTTTCCTCTATAGAAAGTACTGTGAGGGGTTGATAAGGTAGCCAGTGAAACAAAGGAAATGATACTATTTAATGTCATTTTCCTGATGAAAAAGCTCCAGGTTTGCCCAAGGTCCTAAGGGGGTCAAATAATGGCTCTAGTCCCTGAGGAGGTTATAGCAGCCTGCCAGATAGGGAGCAAAAAGAGTTCTTGAGTTCTCAGTGGCATTATGGGTATTACTCCTACCTGAACTGAGAGATGGGAATCTATTTTTAAGATTGTGAATAATGCAAAAGGGGTCCTATTGAATCATTGGTCTCATATCGGGTAATTTCATAGATTCATGTACAAAAATTGGGGCAGAAAGTATTTCAGCAGGTAGGAGAAGATAAGTTTGACCTGGTGGAGGCTATGATAAATTGTAGATTACTCTGACACAGACCTCTGCTTCTATGACATAGTGGGCCCCATTCCTGGTGGAGGGAGAATATAACTGGTTCCTAGTGCTAAGACTTCTTGGCAGTCAGAAAACCAGAGTTCACGTCCAATTCTTAACTGCCTCACAAGCAGGCTATTCAACTTCCTCTGTAAAAGCTCCCTTCAAAGATGTTTATGAAGTTAAATGAAGTATCTTTGTACTTTTTAATCAAAGCAGATGGTTATGACTGGGTGTGGTGGTACATATCTGTAATACCTGTAATTTGGGAGGAGCACAGGTTCAAGGGCAGCCCAAGCAATTTAGGGAGACTCTGTTTTAAAAATAAAACATAAAAAAGACTAGTATTGTAGCTTAGTGAGTGGTAGAATGCTCCTGGTTCAAACCTTTAAAAAGGGGGCGTGGCATGGTTAATTTGTTTATTTATTTATTTTTAATTTTGAGATGGGTCTCACTATGTTGCCCAGACAATCCTCATGTCTCAGCCTCCCAACAGGTTGGATTATAGGCATGCACCACTGTACCCCAGCCTTTTTGTTATTATTATTTTTCTTAGGTGTAATTGAACACAATGCCTTTATTTTATTTATTTATATGTGGTACTGAGGATTGAACCCAGGGCCCACACACGCTAGGCGAGCGCTCCACCACTGAGCCCCAATCCCAGCCCTGTGCCCCAACCTTTTACTGTTAGTCTTAGAAAGTGCATAATACTGTCTTTGTTCAAGTTCACTGTTAGCACATCTGTCTCCCCAATTTATGGACAGAGCCTTGACACATTGATGCTGTTACTTCCCCTCAGCAACAAGCACAAAGCTCTGAAAGTATACTATATGGAATTATCCGTTGTTTCACATGTAAAATTATTTTACGTGTAAAGATTAATCTCTTTAGCTGAAATCTCAGTAACTCGAGGGTAGGGAATCCCCCCAACTTCCAATGTAATTCCTGTCACAAAACCAGACATATATCTACGGGATCTTAGGGAGAAGGTTGCTCTTGAATAAATGTTCAAATTGTGTGCTTCTCACTTACAGTGATTTCCCAGATGATCCAGGAGTGCAGTGGGACACAGAGCATGTGGCCAACATTCTCCTCCAGCATGTAGAGGTCAATGACATCAACCTGGTAAGTGTTCACATCCCTAGTGAAAAGCCTGGGATTCCTGTCCTGTCTCAACAGTTGGTTTCTGCAACTTGTCCTGTGACTGCCTTCCTACTTCCAGTTTTGCTCCAAGGCCGCTCCATTTAAAAAAAAAAAAAAAAAAAAAAAATTTCCAGTGCTCTCTTCTAAACCTGCAAGGAACAAACACACCTTTTAATTCTTATAGATCTTTTGTGAAACCAAACAGCTGAATGATCAATGTTTTGATAGAGGCAGAGGTTTTTTCAGATGATGTCTTCCCTCCCCTACCTCTGCCTCACCTCCTGAAAGCTTAGAGTCCCAAGAGCCTTCACTGTGACTCTCATTGATAAAGAATTTCACCTTGTGCCAAGCAGTTTCACATTTAGAATATCATTTTCACTTTTAAGGTAAATGTTATAATTTTAACTTAACATTGAGGAAATGGAGGTTTTCAAAGCCCAGACAGCTTGACCAGTGTAGGCAAGTGATGAAGATAGGAATTTTTGTTTTTGTATTTTTGCAGCACTGGGGACTGAACTCTGGGTGCAATACCACTGAACTACATCCCCGGCCCTTTTTCTAATTTTTTTAATTTCAAGACAGAGTCTTGCTAAGTTGTGGAAGCTGGCCTTGAATTTGTAATCCTCCTAACTTAGCCTCCCGAGTTGTTGGGATTACAGGCATGTAAAGCCAGTAAAATTTTTTGTTTTGTTTTTATTACTACTACTACTACTAATAATAATAATAATAATAGTAATACTTCATGGGTTAATATCTAAAATTCCACCATTTAAAGCCCTTCTCATTTGATTTAAATTTTGGGTAATATTCTTTAAAAGATGATTCCTTGCTGGGTGTGGTGACACAGGCCTGTAGTCCCAGTGATTTGGGAGAGTAAGGCAGGAGGATTGCAAATTCAAGGCCAACCTCTGAAACTTATGGGAGCCTCTCAGCAACTTAAAAGACCCTGTCTCAAAATAAAATATAAAAAGTGCTGGAGATATAGCTCAGTGGTAAAGCACTCCTAGGTTCAATCCCCAGTACAATGAATGAATGAATGAACAGATAAATAATGAGTTCTGCTGGCAGAGAAATATATTAAGCTTTTATAAATGATGAATTCATCATTGTAAACTAGACCTTTATTATTTTTTAATACTTTTTTAGTTGTCAATAAACCTTTATTTTTAAAATTTATTTATATGCAGTGCTAAGAATCGGATCCAGTGCTTCACACATGCTAGGCAAGCACTCTGCCACGGAGCCACAACCCCAGCCCCATAGACTGTTCTTAAATGAGGATTTTCAAGAGTATATGAATCAGATTGGTTTTTTTTGGATTTTTTTGGGTTTGTTTTTTTTTTTTTTTTTTTTTTTTTGTGGTCCTGGGAATTGAACCCAAGGGCCTATTTATTTTTCATTTTGAGACAAGGTCTCACCAGGTTTCTGAGATGGTCCCTAGCTTGCCATCCTCCTGTCATCCTCAAATAGCTGGATTGTAGGTGTGTGCTACCATGGCCAGTGAGACTGTTTTTGTTTTGTTTGTATTGGGCATTGAACCCAGGGCACTTTACCAATGAGCTACATCCCCAGTTTTTTTCATTTTTTTTTATTTTGATACAGGATCTTGCTGAGGGACTTACTGCTTTGCTGAGACTGGTAACTTCTTGCCTCAACTTTCCACGTTGCTAGAATTAGAGGCCTGCTCCACTGTGCTAGACCAAACTGTTTTCTAATGACAAAAATATAACTGAAACCATATACATAGACAAAATATCCATCTCACTGGCTCACTCTGAGTCACTTAAAGGTTAAGAAATAAGTAGGCCTCAAGATCCCTAACCCCGCCAACTTGTTCTTCCACTCTTTCTTTTCCTGAATGGAAAAAATGGTTTTTATGATTTTTCAGGCCTCTACATCCCACTGTCCCTCCCCAGAGGGTATAAGCGTGAAAGCAGTGTTAGATGCATGCATTAGGAGTCACATACCCAGTTGTGCTGACAGCGGCTGGCCTTGTTCCTCTTATCCACAGTTCCCCACCTTCACAGGGCCATAACCTAGATGTGTAGACAGAGCTGATCTTCAGGTTGGTCCTTCAGCCTTGGCACACCATTTTCCCATGGTAGTGGCTTCCCCAGAACAAATCCCCAAATACTATCCCTCCTCTGCTCTCTCGGTGTATAAGAGGTACTGGTCTCCCCCAGTCACTCCAGGTTTCAGGATATACTCTCATCTTGTTCAACTTGGAATTCAAGGTCCTCCCTGATCTGGCCCTTACTTTAATCCAGGACACTGGTAATTATAGTTTATCCTTGCTGAAGGGCAAAGTTTCTTTTTCAGAACATGTTGCAGCTAACCTGGGTCCTGAGTATTTGGGGTTGGGGAATCTTGAAGGCACAGACATCTCGGCATTCCTTTCTTGCTTTCAGAAAAGTTTCCTATATTTGAGTCCCAGAAAAGTGATTTGTGATCCAGAATCCATTCTCCAAGAAGCCTTCCCTGACTTCTTCAGCCTCTTTGGGATTCAATCCTCTTTGGGATTCCCACAGTATTTGCAGGTTGCACTGAACATATGGCATATTTTGCTGTTTATTCTTTAAGATGCAGACTTATATCTTGTAAACTAGATTATAAAGTCCATGAAGGCCAGGACCATCTTTAAATCTCCAAAAACTGGCATAAATCCCAAGAGAGAGCTCTCACTGCCTGGAGGTCTTTCCTGAACGTGTGCTGCTGTTCACATTCATTCAGTAAAGGGCGTTTATTGTCAGGAGAATCTTAATTTAATTGCAGTCAACAAGGAAATCACTTTAAAACAGCTCAAAAATAATTAATAAATTATGTGCAATATCCTGTGCTGTTAATAAGAAAATTTAAGATATCAAAGTGCACTTCCTTGGTCTGAACTTACTGTCACAATGGATGTATAGGAGCATCCTAAAACAGCCAGTGTGGCCATACCCAGCCATAGTGGAGCTAAGTATGAGTTTGTGTTCAGCTCCTAGTGACACAGTTAAGTGCTCTTTTACATAATCCCACAGCCCCTGAAGGACAAGGGCTGAGGGGTTAGTTAATACTAGGCAGGTGATAATTCTCAGGGGCAGTGTCCTGTACCCAGATGAATACATAAATCTTGGGAATCTCCAGGAGCCCTATTCAAACCAAAAGTACTAACTGCACAGCAATAAACAGTGAAGCACCAGTAAAGAAACATAGGTAGAAGTGGAGAGCATAGCGCTGAGAATTTATCACCTGAACCATGCCAGAATAAGACCAAAAGCACCCTTGTCTGAAGCAAAGCTGGCTCTGCAGCCCTCACTATGGTGTGATGACAGGAATTGGTTCCATCTGGCCCCATGTCTGTCATATGCTTGCAAGCTGCCTGCTCTGCTCACTGAAAGAATATCATGAGAACCACAAAGAGTGGCTCTTTGTGGTTAGGGCTCTTGAAAATGTAAAGTTGCCCTCCACAGAAGGCAGCTCAGGAGGTTGGTCGTTGTCTTTTCTGGGTGTCAGGCTGGCTAGATACTGCACCTAATTCTCCTTTAACCCATAATTCAATACATATCTGTTAAATGCCTATTATGGGACATTTACTGTGATGAGAACTGGGATTACAACAGCAAACTAAATCCACTTACTCCCTGCTCCTTTAGAGCAGGGTGTCTCAACTACGGCATTATTGACATTTGGGGCTGGATAGTTCTCTATTGTGGGGGCTGCCCTGTGCATTGTAGATGTTTTGCTACATCCCTGGCCTCTACCCCTTAGATGCTGGTAGCAACCCCTCTCCTCAGCTGTCACAATAAAAACATGTCCAGACATTGCCAATGTCCATGGGTAAAACCATCCCCAGGTTAAGAACCAGTATCTTGGGCTGGGGATGTGGCTCAAGCGGTAGCACGCTCGCCTAGCGTGCCTGCGGCCCGGGTTCGATCCTCAGCACCACATACAAAGAAAGATGTTGTGTCCGCCGAGAACTAAAAAAAAAATAAATAAATGTTAAAATTCTCTCTCTCTGTCCCCCTCTCTCTCTCACTTTCTCTTAAAAAAAAAAAAAAAAAAGAACCAGTATCTTAGAAAGCATGCCCTAGGGCTATGAGTATTACTCAGTTGTAGAGTACTGGTCACCCCACACACATGAGGCCCTGGATTCAATTCCCAGCACCACAAGAAAAAAAAGAAGTAGAAGTAGCCAGACACAGTGGCACATGCCTGTTATCCCATTGGCCTAGGAGGCTGAGGCAGGAGGATCGAGAGTTCAAAGCCAGCCTCAGCAACTTAGTGAGGCCCTAAGCAATTCAGCAAGATCCTGTCTCTAAATGAAGTACAAAAAAAAGGCTGAGGATGTGGCTCAGTGGTTGAGTGACCCTGAGTTCAATCCCTGGTAACCCCCCCCCCCGCAAAAAAATAAAATAAAATAAATAGAAGAAAGAGGAGGAGGAAGAAACAAACTGAGGTATCCCACTGATGTCTTTTTTATTTAGGGAGGGCGGTAAGATTTCCCTTGATCCAAAATTTCTGCAAACTAGGAAAGAAGAAAAGTGGATGGAGTTCTGTGAAGAACTACAAATGTGGGGCTGGAGCTGGGGCTCAGCAGTAGCCCACTTGCCTGGAATGTGGGAGGCACTGGGTTTAATTCTCAACACCACATATAAATAAATAAAACACAGGCCTATCAACAACCAAAAAAATTTTTTTTAAACATTGTCATGTAAAAATCTACAAAAGTCCAGGGATATGAATACAATCAGCTCAGCCCAGTTTGCAATAGAAAGGAGGAGGGAGGGCTGGGGTTGAAGCTTGGTGGTAGAGCACTTGCCTGGCCCATGTGAAGCACTGGGTTCAATCCGCAGTACCACATAAAAATAAATAAACAAAATAAAGGCATTGTGTCCATCTACAACTAAAAAATAATTAAAAAAAATAAAGAAGGAGAGAGAGTATAAGATGATATAGGATGAAAAAGAAACAAATACCTTGGAAAATTTCAAAAATAACATGGTCTGGAGAAGTAGCTTAGTAGTAGAGCATGTGCTTAACATGCGTGAGGTCTTGGGTTTGATCCCCAGCACCAAAAAAATAAAAGCAGTTGTGCTGAATTCTACATGGCCCCAAGTCCCCTAGCCAAGGGAATGGTCTCCAGCATTCCTCCCCATACCCATAATCCTCTCTCTATTCATTTGTTTTAGGGTACTAGGGATTGAACCCAGGGGTGCTTAACCACTGAGCAATATCCCCAGCCTTTTTTTATATATTTTGTTTAGAGACAGGGTCTTGCTAAGTTACTTAGGGCCTCAATAAACACTGAGGCTGGCTTTGAACTCGAGATCCTGCTGAATCAGCCTCCCGAGCTGCTAGGATTAGAAGCATGCACCACCATGAATGACTTTTCATTGGCTATTAAACCCAGGAGCTCATGCATGCTAAGCAAACACTCTACCACTGAACTATTCCCTCAGCCCTTTTTGAAATTTTGAGTCAGGGTCTCACTAAGTTGCCCTGACTGGTCTCTAGCTTGCCATCCTCTTTAGCCTCCCAAGTAGCTGGGATTACATGCAGAATTGTCAGAATTCCTTCTGATAACAATCTAGCTCCATCTGATGGTGACAGATTTAGAGTTAATACACTCTAGCACTGTCTGCTGTACATTTTTAAAACGCTTTCATGTGGCTTTGTTTTATCTGTACCTCAACCAATTTTACACATGAAGAAGTCAAGACATTCCAAGATGAAATAACTTCTATTAATACAGTTCTGTGATTTTCCCAAGGAACTTTGCATAACTAGTATCAGAGATGATTAGACTTGAGTCTCTCCTGGTTGGGTTACATGGAAAAGTCATGATCAGAACTGGAAATTAAACTTTTTTATTTTAATAGATTATTTTTTAGAACAATGCTAATGTTTTGTTGTTGTTGTTGTTGTTGTTTTATTTTTGTTTTTTACCATTCTGGAGGTTAAAATTCCCAAAATCAGTTTCACTGAGCTAGAGTTAATGTGTTGGCTTACAACCCCATCTTCCATAGCATATCATGCCAATTTCTGCTTCTCTTAACACATGGTCTTCTCCTCTGACTTTGATTATCTTCTATGTCCTTCTTATAAGGACCACTGATATTACATTTGGGCCCATCAACAAATCTAGGGTCATCTCCCCATTGCAAAATCCTTAACTTGAATTACATTTGCAAAGTCCCTTTTGCCACATGAGATAACATTTATAGGCTTCAGGAATTAGGACATATTTGAGGGATACTTATTCAGCCTAGCAAGAAATCTTACTCCAGAGCACTCATTCACACCAAGTCCTCAGAGACTGATAACCATTCTAAAGATAACTTTTCTTTAACTGGGATCTGAGCTTTACATTAAAAGGTTAAGATTTTAGGGGCTGGGGCTATAGCTTAGTGGTAGAGCACTTTCCTTGCACGTGTGAGGCACTGGGTTCCATCCTCAGCACCACATAAAAACAAATGAATAAAGGTATTGTATCCATCTAGAACTAAAAAATATTTTTAAAAAGGAAGAAGACAAAAAATTAAAAAAGAAAAAAAATTTAGTTGTGGATGGATACAATACCTTTATTCATTTATTTGTTTTTTTGTGGTGCTGAGGATCAAACCCAGCACCTCACACGTGTGAGGCAAACACTTTACCAATTGAGCTACAATCCCAGCCCTTTTTTCTTTTTTTAAAAGGTTAAAATTTGGGCTGGGGTTGTGGCAGAGTGGTAGAGTGCTTGCCTCGAATGCATGGGGCACTGGGTTCAATCCTCAGCACCACATAAATAAATAAAATAAAGGTATTGTGTCCATCTACAACTAAAAAATTTAAAGAAAAAAAAAGATTAAGATTTTAGAATGACAGTTCAGGGATTGGGCTGATGTTTGGGAGAGGTGGAAGTAGATGCTTCTAATACAAATGCTCAGTTTTGATTGACCCACTCCAGGTAAACTCTTCCTATGTAGAGTAATTGTTCCCCGGGAAACTGCAATAAGGGCCTGAGACAAAGGGAAGGAGAGATGGGCTCTATCAGAGCTTTACAGATTTCATGAAGAGGGTAGAACTCCTGGCAGAACCCTTCTCTCTGGTAGCAGGTAACCCTCTTGAAATCACTCTGAATTCACCTAATTCAGATTCATAATGTCCCAAAGAATAGATTCTGAATCTCAGGAGGGCCAATCAACATGTTTTATAATTAAAATAGAAAGACCTCCAGGCTCAATAGCATGCCCCTTATAATCCCAGCAATTTGGGAAGCTGAAGCAGGAAGATAATAAATTCAAGGCCAGCCTGGGCAATTTAACAAGACCCTATCTCAAAATAAAAAATTTTTTAAAGGTCTGGAAATGTAGCTCAGTGATAAAGCACCCTTAGGTTCAATCCCTAGTTCTAAAAATAAAAGCAAAGGAAAAAAAAAAGAGCAAGAGTAAATCCCTTCTCAAACTATTCTATGTCCTGTTCCAAGTCCCTTAGTCCTGTTTTCTATATATCTTTTATTATTCAGATTACTCTTTGGATTGTCTTATTCAAATATCATTTGGTCTTATTAATCCATCTGTGCTGAATTGAATTGTAAGAACCTAGACTGAACTTGGAGTTAATAAAGAGATGTTGACATAGCTATAAAAATGGAAACAGAGACAGTCTATGAAAAGAAAAGCCTTTTCCATGAACCCAACCCCAGAGTGGACATTGGCATTCTTGAGGCTTTTGTACCTTCAATATCGCACAAGGAAAAGAACCTAAATAAATCAGGCAACGTCTACCTGAACAAAGGTCATATAAGAGCCAACCAGAAAAACTAATATGCTCATAAATGACTAAGCAGAAAAGCAAAAAGATATTTCAAATCCAAGTTTCTGTCATGGTGAATTCTACTCTGCTGCACTGGCCAGGAGTACATGATAAACAGTAAAAATTCATAAAAATAGTCTCCATAGTATAATCAGCCAAACCAATAGATACACATCATTGATATGCTTAGAAGTCAGTTCAGCTATTCTCAGAATTTGAAAAATGCCAGCGTTCTTCTCTCTCCTTTACTTTCCAAGGGAATGGCAATAGCTACTTGGAAGCTGAGGCAGTAAAAGAAACATTCTGACAGTTTTGAGTGAAAACCCTGTCTGTCTCTACAGGTGGTGACTTTTGATGCAGGGGGAGTCAGTGGTCACAGCAATCACATTGCTCTGTACACAGCTGTGAGGTATGATTCACTGGGTGATGGAGGTGGGACAGGGTTTGTCCATTTGCTTAGGAATCTCAGTTGCTAAAGCACTTTATCCCTGGTTATCTGAGCTCTAGGAAATATACTACTGAATTATACCACCATCACTGGTTGTGTTGCTCACTATATCTCACTAAGTCCTCTTTATGAGAAATCTCTAATAAGTCTCAGTAGGAATGTTTACCTCCTAAAGAAGTGAATTTTTAAAAATCTCCTGGATACTGCAAATGGGATAATTGATTTTATTTCTCTCTTTACTTCAACCAGAGAAAGCTTCAGGGCCAATTTTGCAACCTCTGAACCACATGAACAGGACTTCAAGGAATGAGTCCTGTGAGTCAGGTGCCCCCAGCTTCATCTTCTTCCTCTCACTTCTTTCTTTCTTTATTTATTTAGGTGCAGATGGACACAACACAATGCCTTTATTTTTTATGTGGTGCTGAGGATCAAACCCGGGTCCCGCCCATGCTAGGCAAGTGCTCTACTGCTGAGCCACAATCCCAATCCACTCTCACTTCTTTTGACATCTTTCATTACAGATTTTGCTACTATCTCCAGTCTTTCTTTGTAAAAGGAGAATATCCACATCTGATAGTAAATCTCATTTGTCCTTCAAAGCTACCCTATTTTACTGATATTTGTCTTCATTTATCCTATAAAACCAAAATGGAACCTCAAAGATACAGAGTGACTTAGGATCATGCAAACAGAGACCATGGTAAAGTGCTTCTGTTAGGATCCAGATCAGCAGAGTGGTGGTCTTGTCTTAGATACTGAGGAAGGAAAAGGACAACCAGAAATGAAAGAGTTGTTTTATAACCTTCTTCTATATGTGTTCAATATTCTCAGTCTGGAGCAGTGAAATATTTGAACTTGGAAATGACCTCACAGTCATTAAGTCCAACTGTTTCATTTGACCGAGGCAATGAAGCCTTATGCCCAATGCTACAAGTCAACAATGGCAGAGACAGAACCAAAATCCAGGAATCCTGGTCCTCCACTCAGTCTTCTGGCAGAAACATGTCAAAACAAATCTACATTAGGACCCTCAAGCTTTTCTTAAATCATACATCACATAGTGGAAGATGCCAGAAATTTTTGTTCATATATTCTTTGCAGACAGCTCTCCCTGATTCTTTGGGATTCTAAGGAATCAGGGGAGGCAAGACTGTTCTCTTCCTGTCCCACCCAGGGGCCACAACTATAAAAATGTGATGTTCATTGCATTAGGTCCATTCAGATTCAGGAAAGACCCATCCCCCCATTATAGCCAGAGATGCAATTTTTTTAAAGATACATGGAAAAATAGGCAACCCAGAAATGGTCTTTCTAACCATGTGGTTACCCTGAACCTTGGGCTTCCAAGACTGGTATGCATGCAAGCTGCTTGGAAACTGGAATAATGTCTCCATTCTCACTCCAGGTACACACTGAGCCTTGTGACTTCTCACCAAGTATACAGATTGTACCAGAGAAAGGATCAGATTAGGTCTCCTGCAAACAAACCAAGAGCACTTTAGCAGTCAGGGTTGCCTGTGCACTTGAGGTTGACTTGACTGGTTCTAACCCTAGTATAGTCACCACTGAAGTGGGAAAAGCAGGGAAGGCTTCATTCCAGACAGAGAACCCAGAGGGACAACTTTCTGCTGACAGAAATTCCCAGGACCGTTTTCCTTAAGTGGCTGGAGTACTGCAGGCTCTCAACACTAGTGCAGGTCCTCTCCCTACACTAGTGGAAGTCACTGTGCTTCAGATAAAACAATCTGTAGACACACCTACCATCTTTGAAAACTGTTTTCTCCGTAGTCACCTGCCTGCTAAATAGACCAGATCCATTTTAGTGTGTTCACTTGTCTGGGCCTTTCTGTGACATTTGGCTCCTCCTGTCACTCATCAAAATGCTGCTTTGACTTACCTGGCACTGGCTGGTCTTCCCTTCTCTCTGACCTTTCTGGCTACCTCTCAGTCTCTTTCTGGCTTCCCTCGCACCTGAGGCCCCTCCTTGACCCTGTCCCTATGGCTGTAATAACCACAAGTGCAATACCCAGGTTGTGTACACTTCAGTTTTACCTCTTCCCTTGGATATCCCCGAGCTCTGTCCAGGATGCAGAGCAAATCACCTCCTTCTCAGGATCCCAGGGCCTTTTTTAGGTTTTTCTACTGCTTAAGGTGGATTTGCTTTGACGTGTTTCTGCCAGAAGACTGAGTGGAGAACCAGGATTCCTGGATTCTGGTTCTATCTCTGCTAGGGAGTCAGTTCCATAGGCTTTTCAACTGTCTCTCAAGTCTGATACTAATAAGTGTGTATGTGTGTTGAATCAGAAAATTACCCACTCTCTCTTCTGTTCCTAAGCTTTCAATACAACAAAACAGAAAACAATTTGGAAATAACTGCTGTTGGTTCATCCTATCCCTTCTGGGGGTAGGGGAGGTCAGAAAAGAGAAAGGAAATATTAGGAAAGAAATGTCAATGAATATTTTAAATATTTAATGTATTTTAAAATATTCTCCTACTATACTCAGGTCACAATTACAAGAGAAAATTTTTGAAGAATCTGAGGTAATCACTTTCATCTCAGGCAAAGCTTGACAGGGTCATATAGACCCGCCTCTGGATTAGTTGTCCTTGGGTGAGGTGCCTACCCTGGTCCCTTCAACTGTAAGCCAGAGGTATGGAATCCCAGAAATTTGATGATTTATGCAAAAGAAACCACCTGGGAACCTATGTAAGGGGACCATGGGCCCTGTCACCCTTCCTCAGAAGTCCCCTCACGTTAGTACAAAGGACTATGTGATTCTCACCTTCTCTCACCCTTGTCCTTCCCTCTTCCAGGGCCCTGCACTCCGAAGGGAAGTTCCCTAAAGGTAAGACCTGTTCCTATTGCAGAAAGTCACTAGAAGCTATCCCTCCAGGAGATTTACCAGAGGGAAATTTGCAAATACTGTCAGCCAAATTCCTTAAGTTCCATATCCATGTATTTAACAACCATATATCAAAATTACTTGGGGTTGAAGGGATGCTGTCTGTACTGAATATAAGTGTAACAACTATTTACATAGCATTTACATTGTACTAGGTATTATAAGGTGAGATGTTTTAGAGTATACAGGGAAGATATGCATAGATTTCATGCAAATAGTCTTGTCATTTTCTTTTCTCTCTCTTTTTTGTAGCAGGGATTGAACCCAGGGGACTTAACCACTGAGCCACATCCCCAGATATTTTTTATTTTTTATTTTGAGACAGGGTCTCACTAAGTTGCTTAGGGCCTTGCTAAGTTGCAAAAGTTGGCTTTGAACTTGCGATCCTCCTGTCCCAGCCTCCCAAGTCACCGGGATTACAGTTGTGTGCACCATGCCCAGCTACTCTGTCATTTTCTATGAGAGACTGGAGCATCATGGTTTCTGTGCAGGTCCTAGAACAAATTTCCCTGAAGTTGAGAGATGATTGTACACAGAGGCTGCTCTCAGCAGAGTGAAGGCATACTTCCTGACTCAGATCTCTCAGGTTGTATCATTGGCAAGTGCCCTGTCAGCAGATTCTGGATGTGCAGAAAGACCGTGTTTGTCTCCTCACCTGTCTAGTTTTCTCATAGGGTAGGTCTTTTCCACTTCTGGTATTCTGCAATCTGTTTATCCAAACTCAAATTCTAGCTCCCATTAATTAACCAAGATGTAAGTGCCTGACAGGTGCCTCATAGAGTAAACTGCTTGAAAGAGAAACTCTTCCTAGCCCACAGGAAGGTATTTGACCCCATTTGATCATTTCCACATGACACTCCTGTTTAACCTTCTGAGCCAGTTTCAGGTTTGTCCTGCCTCACAGGAGAATATGAAAGTTGAATCAATAAGGCTGGGCATGGTGTTGCACTCCTAATCCCTGAATCAGGAGGCTGAGGAAGAAGGATTGCATGTTTGAAGCCAGCCTTAGCAACTTAGTGAGGCTGTAAGCAACTTGGTAAGACCCTGACTCAAAATAAAAAATAAAAAGGTCTGGGGATGGGCTGGGGCTGTACCTCAGTGGCAGAGTGCTTTCCTAGCATGTGTAAGGCACTGGTTCCATCTTCAGCACCACATAAAAAAATAAATTAATAAACAAAGATATTGTGTGTCCATCTGCAACTAAAAAATGTTTTTTTAAAAAAAAAAAAAAAAAGGTCTAGGGATGTGGCTCAGTGGTTGAATGGCCTTGGGTTCAATCCCTGGTACCAAAAAAAAAAAAAAAAGAATCAATGAGACCTAAGTAGCATGTGCCCTTTCCAGATGGCTTTACCAAACTGTTAAGTCTTTGGAACATGACTGTAATTCATTTTATTTTTATATCAATCCTACGAGAAGGGCAGGTCCCACACTGGCTATACAGAGCCAATGCAGCCAGGTGCAGTGGTGCACACCTATAATTCCAGCCACCTAGGAGGCTGAGGCAAGAGGATCACAAGTTCAAGGCCAGCCTCAGCAACTTAGATCTTGTCTCAAAACAAAATAAAAAGAGCTGGCATGGAACTCAGTGAAAGAGCATCCCTGTGTTCAATTCCCAGTACCTCCCCCCCCCCAGCTGCCACACACACACACACACAAGCCAGATTCAGGGCTGGGGCTGTAGCTCAGTAGCAGAGCACCTGCCTTGCACATATGAGGCACTGGGTTCCATCCTCAACACCACATAAAAATAAATAAATAAATAAATTATGTCCATATACAACTCAAAAAAATATTTAAAAGAAAAGAAAAAAAAAAGCCAGATTCAATGGCATCTTAGTCCCAGCTAATTGGGAGCCTAAGGCTGGAAGACACTTGAGACCAGAAGATCAAAAGCAGGCTGGGAAGGGAAGGAGAGAGGGAGGAAGATTGAGATTCAGAGCAGTTAAGGGGCTTTCCCAAGTTCTTGAGCAGTTAGTTTTGGATCAGTTCTTGTGCAACAGAGCTAGAAATATGTCTCTAGCTCCCCAGTATAGAAATTCCTGTTTCCCTCAGCCTTGAGGTAGCCAGATCCCGATCTCTAGCTGCCCATCTCTTCTCAATAAGACACAGAGTGAGGTAGAGGGTAGCCAGCCAGGTCTCCTGTGGCCCTTTCACTTTTCCTCTCTGAGGAATAATGGGCAAAGAGCAACTTTGGTGCTGTAAAGACACCTGGAAACTCCAGCCCTGCCCTAAGCCATAGAGGTGGTGGGAGTTTTCGGGGGAAAATCTGACTGGGAGCAACAAGGCTCTTTACTTTTCCCCATCCCCTCCCCACCAGGGTGTTCTGTGCTCACACTTCAGTCTGTGAATGTGCTGCGCAAGTATTTCTTCCTCCTGGACCTGCTCTGGTCTCTGCTGCATACTCAGGACATCCTCTTCGTGCTCACCAGCGAAGAAGTGGCACAGGCAAAGGTGAGGATTGCAAATTCCTGGACACCTTAGATCTGGGCCAGGCCTCTTGGCTTCTCAAAATTCTGCTCTGCAGAGGCAATTCCCATAGTCCTTTCACAGCGGCTTAGCATCTCCCCCTGAGTTTTACTACTAAGCCAGCTAGACCTTGGCAGGCAGAAATTTTCAATGACTTTGAACTTTTTTCCTGATTACAATAAAACAACAAAGAACCTAAAATACATATACTCCTTGTAGAGAATTAAGAAAATAAAAGTAAGAAATAAAAATTATCCACAGTCCCACCACTCAAAAGTAATCATCATTAACATGTTCGGATACATGCTACTATTATATAATGGGATCACACTTTGTTTACTGTTTAAAATCTGCTTTCTTTAACAAAATATTATGAATATTTTCTCCTATGTCACTAAGTGTTCCAACTGTAATGCCTGCCTATAATTCATTTGTATGGATATACCATAAATATGTTGTGAATTCCTGATCATTAGACATTTCAGATGTTCCAGTTTTCCAGTGCTCCTACCTTGAGTCTAAAAGGAATTCAGACCTGCCAGGATCCTCTGTAAAGAGCCAGTGGGGCAGACAACCGAAAGCCCATTTGCCAACTGAGGAAGAGCCAGATCCACCCATGCCCTCCTAGTGAAAGTTTAGCTGTCAGTGGGGCAGGTGATTGTCAGAATCATTAGAGATGAGGAGATGAGACAAGCTCCAATTTGTCTCCAGGTGCAATCTGTAGAAGACTTAAGTCCACCTCAGAGACACAGGTAGCCTTATTTTCTCAATTTTCCACAGTAAGCATTTATTCCTACTAAAAGGCACTTTGCTAGATGCTTAGAATGTATGTTGAGCAGAAATATTATTCCTCTCTTGTTGCTTTAATAGTTCATTAATTTTTTTGTTATTATTTCTGTCCTACTCTATTCATGTTTTATTCTGGGTTTTTTGTTTTTTGTTTTTTTTTTTTTTTGAAAGGTTAGGCTTCTTTTTATTTTCAATCTTTAAAAAAAACTATACTTTAGGGCTGGGGTTGTAGCTCAGTAGTAGAGTGCTTGCCTCACCACGTGAGGCCCTGGGTTCCACCCTCAGCACCACATAAAAACAAATAAATAGAAATATTGTTTCCATCTACAACAAAAAAAAAATTTTTTTTTAAACCATACATTAATACTATTAATTTCCTTTAATGTAATCCTTTAAGTTTCCATTGTGAGTTTCTTTTCAATCCATGAGGTTTCAGGGATGTAAGAGTTTGCAGATGTGTTTTTCAATCTTTATTATTTGCAGTTCCATTTTTGCCTACTTACAAAAATTTATCTGTAACTCCAAAATCAATTCTAGTGTGATCTCAAATAATACAAGCATATAGCCCAACATGTTAACAATGATTACTTCTACTACAATTCTTATTTCTTATTTTTTGCTTTTGTGAGCACTGACATAGTCATTTAAAAAGCAGTGGAAATTTTGAGCCACACATGCATGTTTCAAGGAAGATTAAGGCAAAACAACCTTGTTTCAGTCTCATACTACAGAAAAAGTATCCTTTTAGTGATGTATTTAATGCCACATTTTCTTATTTTATGATTTTTGTTGATTTTACTGTTTAAAATGACTGAAGTAGCCAGGCACAGTGGTATACATTCAGGAGGATCACAACTTCCAAGGCCAGCTGGGCAGCTTAGCAAAACCTTATCTCTAAGGGCTGGGGATGTAGCTCAGTTTTTTTGTTGTTGTTTTTTTAAAGTCTGAAATACAAGGCTGAAGTTGTCCAGTGTCCTTAAACAAAATAGGCTATGATTGGCCTTATGGAAAAAACAGATATATTAGATAAGCTTCATCACAAACATGAGTTCTAGTGCAATTGGCACTAGTTCAGTGTAAATCAATCAGCAAAGTATATATTAAATAATTTCTCTTTAAACAGGAACACACATAAAACAATGTTATATATTGATGTGTTAATGAAAATGTGACCAGAGGCTCACAGGAATTAGCAGTAGTCCAGTATTCACTAATTCAGTGTTCTAGTGACTTTATAGAATGGCCACAAATAATGAGAATATTGCTTTGTTGTTGATTTTTTAATGTAACTGTTTTGTGATCAATGAGTTTTGTGATCAATTATTTTATGCTTTTATCAAAGCATAAAATAAGAAAATGTGACATTAAATACATCACTAGAAGGATAATTTTTCTATAGTGTGAAACCTGAAACAAAGGTAGTTTTGCCTCAATCTCCCTGACTCACAGCTTCAAGTTTGGGTCCCCAGTCTAACAGAACCCACAATGCCCCCAATCTTCCTGGGCCTTCAGTCAGTGAGCCCTCCACTTCAACCACTCATACTTGTTTATATTTTGTAGGTTCATGATACTGTTGGTTTTAGTTTTGACCCATCTGCATCTTTTTTTTAATCCTCTTTATATTTTTCTACCATGACTACAATATGGAACAGGAAGCATAAATTTGTCGCATCTTGACCAAGTAAGAACAGCCAAAGTATTTTGAGAATAAGAAAATTAAAAAGCCAGGCACAGTGTCACATGCCTGTAATCCTAGCAATCTGAAGACCGAGGGCAGAAGGATTGCAAATTCGAGGTCAACCTTAGGAATTTACTGAGACCCTGTATCAAAATTAAAAAACAATTTAAGGGGGGCTGGGGATGTGGCTCAAGTGGTAATGCGGTAGCGCACTCCCCTGGCATGGGTGCGACCCAGGTTCGATCCTCAGCACCACATACAAACAAAGATGTTGTCTCTGCCGAAAACTAAAATGTAAATAAAATATTTTTTAAAAAAAAGGGTTGGGGGTTTAGCTCAGAGGTAGAACACCCTGACTTCAATCCCCAGTGAAGGAAAGAAAAAGAGAGGGAAGGAGAAAGAAAGAAAAGGGAGAAGGGGGAAGAGAGGGAGAAAAGAAGGGGAGGAGTGGAAAAGAAAGAACAAGTAACTTATTTGAACTTATTTGCTAGCAAAGTGGAAAAGATCATTATTGAAGCTTTAAATGAAATGGGTTTATAAATTGTTACAGCCTTTCAAGGAAACAAAAGTAATGAATGTCAGAAGGGGTTTCAGAAATTGTTCTTACCTTTGCATGTTTTTGATACATTAAGCAAAAACCAACAGGTTACAGAACAGATTTATAGAGTATCTAGGTGTTGGAATTTAATGTGAATTTTATCTTTTTCTTTTAAAATATAACTAATTATACTATTTATAGAAACTCTCATCCAGTAATTTATACTTTTAGAATTTTATCCTAAGGAAATAAACAAAGATGTGTCCAGGAACTTATATGCAATGTTATCATTAGTATAATTTTTTAAAACTTTTTTTTAGTTGTACATGGACACAATACCTTTATTTTATTTATTCATTTTTATGTGGTGCTGAGGATCGAACCCAGTACCTCACATGTGCTAGGTAAGCACTCTACCACTGAGCTATAACCACAGCTTTCATTAGTATAATTTTTAAATATTTATTTTTTTAGTTGTAGTTAGACACGATACCTTTATTTTATTTATTTATATGTGGAGCTGAGGATTGAACCCAAGGCCTTGCACATGCTAGGCGAGCACTCTACCGCTGAACCACAACCCCAGCTCCTCATAGTATAATTTAGAGTAGCTAAAATAGGAACAATATTCAGCAGGTGAATGAAATAGTAAGCCAGCCTTATTTTGAAGAATATTTAGTGAAAATGCTTCGAAAGCAGAAACACAAAACTTTATACCCGATTTTGATTTTTATGGGGCTATTCCTTCTAACTTTTGAGCAAAAACAATAATTTAAAAAATACACTTGGTAGCTGGGCATGGTGGTGCATGCCTGTAATCCCAGCAGCTCAGGAGGCTGAGGCAAGAAGATCATGAGTTCAAAGCCAGGCACTAAGCAACTCAGTAAGACCCTGTCTCTAAATAAAATACAAAATAGGGCTTAGGATGTGGCTCAGTGGTCAGGGACCCCTGAGTTCAATTCCCAGTGCCCAAAAAACGAAAAATAAAAAATACAGTTGTTAAAAAACAATGAATAATTTATTATTATTATTATTATTTTAGTGGTCAATGGACTTTTACTTTATATGTGGTGCTAAAGATTGAACCCAGGGCCTCACACATGCCAGGCAAGTGCTCTATCACTGAGCCACAACCCCAGCCCCGACAATGAATAATTTTTGTAAGTGCCCATCTTATTGAAGGAATGTTAAAAGTCATTGAAAGATTTAAGCACTTGGGTACTATACTGTGGGAAACCCTTTTAACTTAGAATCTCTTCCAAGCTGACAGATCAAGTATGGTTTGGACTACAAAGGTCATCCGGTCATCCTTTCTCCCAGGGTTTTTTTTGTTTGTTTGTTTGGTTTTTGTTTTTTAGAGAGAGAGAGAGATTTTTTTTATATTTTTATTTTTCAGTAGACACAGCATCCCTATTTTATTTTATGAGGATCGAACCCAGCACCCTGTGCATGCCAGGCGAGTGCGTTAGCACCTGAGC